TACCCCTTGTTCCATCACTACAGTCCCTAATGAAGAGTTCCCCCCCAGCATCCTTACAGGCCCCCTTCAGATACTGGAAGGCTGCTATGAGGTCTCCACGCAGCCTTTTCTTCTCCAGGCTGAACAGTCTCAACTTTCTCAGCCTATCTTCATACAGGAGGTGCTGCAGTCCCCTGATCATCCTCGTGGCCTCCTCTGGACTTGTTCCAACAGATCCATGTCCTTTTTATGTTGAGGACACCAGAACTGTGCACAATACTCCAAGTGAGGTCTCACAAGAGCAGAGTAGAGGGGTAGGATCACCTCCTTCGACCTGCTAATCATGCTCCTTTTGATGCAGCCCAGGATACGGTTGGCTTTCTGGGCTGCAGGTGCACACTGCTGGCTCATGTTCATTTTCTCATTAGCCAACACCCCCAAGTCCTTCTCCGCAGGGCTGCTCTGAATAAAAAATCCCATCACTATGTTGGAAACCTCTACTGCTTATGTATATGTACTTATGTACAGCTCCATTTTCTACTCTGCCCAAAACTGAAAAGCTGTGTGTAGTGCTACAGGTGCTCCCAAAAGTGCAAGACTTACCAATCAATGCATAACCTTGTTTCACTCAGATTTCCAGTAGCACCATTCTAAGTACTGAAACAAACAAGAACTGCGCTGTGGTGTTTCATAGGGCATTTCATGACTTTTCAAGTATCCCAAACAATGAGGTGCAGCATCTTGAACATTACGTGTTGTAAAATAGAAGATACCATCTTGCATTCAACTGATGGCCCAGTACTTCCCCTGCAACAGCTAGCAGGAGATATTTAGGAAGTTACTATAAGATGCAGGATGAACACCAGATCAATCATAACATTACCATACAGCTTCTAAGAGTCAACAGTTAAGACAGTCTGTATCACCCTAACTATCAAGTTCCGTAAGTGTGGAAAAAGTTTCTCCAAGAACCTAATTCCTTTTGGGACTCACTAACACTTTTTGATTCCAAAGCATCTTATGGCAAGGAATTTTATAGCTCATTTATGCATGAGGTGTAAAGCATTTCCACTTTGGAGAAATGCCAGAGCCAAACAGCTAAACATTGTATAATGTAATCATGTATTGTGTTTTTAAAGCAAGAAAGATTGTCTAAAAATACAATGCTATTTCCGAATGCAGCTTTGGAAAGAATCTCAGTACTGTACTCATGCTAATTTTTTCCTCTCAGTGACTCTGTCCTAATGCTTAACTTATCTCCTCAAGCTGGCCGTATCAGCCAAAGTTGTGTTAAATCACTTTGTACGGAATGCAGGAGCACAGCCTGACAACAGCACAACATGTAATGACTGAATCCATGTCCTCTAAGCATGATTACAAACAGAAACAGAACACCAAGACTAAGAGTAGAAAAAGGTTTACAATCCAGGTGACACAGGAGCAAAGAGGTGAGTGGGACACATATACCCCTGAACAATTCAATTCTTCCTGACCATGGAGGAATGAGAATTGGCACCCACACACAACAATCACTGCAAGCCTAAGCAAAACTGGAACAGCTGTTTCTCTTCTCTTTCTATTGGCAAAACAGAATACTTGAGAGATGAGAGAAAAGGAAAGTTTTATGCAGAAGAGGAGGGCTGGAGGTCTGTTTTTGTTCTCTCCGCATCCACTTTTCTTGGGTATTTTCAAATAAAACTTTAGAAAACAGTCCAACTACGTGCTTCTATTCAACTTGACCTGCCAGTGCTGAACCACCTCCTCTTTCAGTCAATTAAGTTCCTGTAGTGCCAGTTTCATGTAGCTCTGTGCCTTTTCTCTTTTTTTCCTCCTTTTTTTCTCAGTTGGCAGGATGAGTTGATCAATGTGTTGCCAGCAGAACTTCAAACAGTGCTTGAGAACAGTGCTTTTAGCAGTCTAAATTACAGGTCACCATAAGAACATGAATGCTGCATTACAAAGGCACAATAGAAAGTCACTGGAAAGTGCTCAGTAACTCCATCTCCTGGACCTGTTGTACAGCCCCTGAGCTATACTGGCAGGCAACATACCAGATGCTGGGGTACACAGGTAAGAAAAAGCTCTCATTTTCCACTGTTAAGCTGAAGAGGACAAAAACGAACTAGGAAGTTAGTTCAATATTCAGTAGGATATTTCAAGTTTTTTTCCAAAGTGAAAAATAGTTAGTGCTTTATGTAGGACAACATTTGGACAGCAGAGAGGGAATTTCTACTGTTATTTCCACACTTAAGATTAAATTCTTGTGCTAGTTCACTTGTTATTTCTGATTAGGTAAGGCACGCACTTCCCCACGAAAACCTAATCTACGTTTAGAGACTCATATGTAAGGAATAATGACTGTACAATGGAATGCAGTTATCAGTGCTAGTATGAGTGCCAAAGACTTACAGTTTTCCTGCAGTAATCGTGGGGAAAAGCCTTGCTGGAAAAGCCTAACTCTCTTAACTACCATGCACAAGATAAACTAAAGCAGAGTATGAACAACTGCTGCTCAGAAGGATTTGTCATCTATTTAAGAAAAATGGGAGCACAGATTTTCCCAGATTCTGCGTTACACACAGAGCCCAGTATGATGACATTGTGGAAAGCACACTGGCACCCCTCACATCTCTTAAATTAGAATATTTGCGAAGATCTAAACAATACAGGCAAGAGCTTCAGCAAGGTGTACTTCCAATTTGATGCGGGATTCACTTCATTTGTATATAAGAAATCCTATTATACCACATTTCAAAATATAAATATAACTTGTTCTGACATTTTATTTTCTTTTAGCAAATACTGTGATGAACTTGAGCTGTAGTCAAAAATTATTTACACTCACAAAGAAATGAAATATATCTTCTAAAGCTTCTGAAAACTTGAGTATCAGCTTGGTACACAACTAGCAATATTTTATCCTTGACAAATTGTGTGCTTTGAGTTATCGTAAGGTCACGAATTACACTGTAAGAAGATCATATGCACACATAATCATAGCAATTACTGGTAGCTGTAAATTTGAAGTGAAGATCTCTAAATATTAGGAACACCCATTATGTAACAACAGAAAAGGTGTGTTTCATTCCCAGAAGAGAATTTAATCCAAAATGCCCTAGTAGAGACAACTGAGTGACAAAATCTTCTAGTTTGGACAAGTAATTCTGATAATGCAGTAATAAAAAAAAAAGGCTCTAATAAAACATATTGAAGTAGTTAGGAACAAGTCCCTGTCAAGTCCATGGCAGGGGGGTTGGAACTTGATGATCTTAAGATCCTTTCCAACCCTAACTATTCTATGATTCTATGATTCTAAGCCTTCTCAAAAGGAGATCAGTAATTCTGCCCAGGAGGGTCATGGAGTCTCCCTCTCTGGAGACATTCAAACCTGCCTGGACACGTTCCTGTGCAACCTGCTCTAGGTGGCCCTGCCTTGGCAGGGGTTTCGATTAGATGATCTCCAGAGGTCCCTTCCAACCCTAATGATTCTGTGATTCTGTGAATTTCAAGTGTCAATGCAACTGAGATGTCAAGATACTTTATGCTGAGTGAAGAGATACATGGTAAAGAGTGGATGTGAAAAAATCCAAAGCATGAAGCCATAAATTCTGACTAGGGTGCAACTGGACTACGAGAATGACAGTGGCGCTATTCACTCAGTGCTCTGACCTACAGCAAACAAGGACTACTGGAGTGCACATGGGTGCTCCAAACGCTACAGGCACAGCAGGCACAGAATCAGCAAAACTAGTGACCCAGTGCAGAACAAACCTCACGTGCAACAAAACAGAAAACAATCATTCAATGGAGATGATTGTCTGCTATATAGAAAGTTAATTTTATAATATTTCTGAAAGATAATCAATGCAAGATTCCTGCTGGGAAAGTCTTACAGGCATTACAGGCATACACAAAGGTAAAGGGCTTTCAAATGATCCTATTGCAGTGAAAAGTCATTCTGATATTTGGAATATAGGTAAATCTGAGGCAAATGTCATTCTTGGTTTAAAACCCCAGACTCAGGCATCAGATCTATTCAAGATAAAAAAAGTTACAGTATTTCTCCTTGGTGAAACCTGGTATTCCAGGCATGATCAGAGCATCACAGTTGTATAATTTCTTCTGGTCTTCCTTTCTTTAAGATCTGCATTCACTTTAGGATTTTGAGTTTCCTATTAAATGTTCTCTGGCCAAACAAAAAGCTACTTAGAAACAACTGACTGGGTGCTTGTATTAGCGCTCTGGTTAGTATGTGAAACTTCATGCATGCTTTCAGCCTCTTTGACACACGGTTTCAGACTGCCTCCCCATGTGCCGCAGAAGACAAGCATGCTGAGTAGGATGTGCAGGATGGCAGGTACCTAGTTTCTTTGGCCTGGATGACACTCAGACTAGATTTGAGATTAGAAATTGAGAAATTTGAAGCAGAGAAAAAAATTGAGGCAAATGTCAGTTTTTGACTTGAGGGTGAGAGATATCAATAAACCCTATCATATGTATTTTTGATCACGAAGTCCAGCTCACAACTGGGTATACTTGCTAGCGCTTACCATAATGCAAGTACATGTGCTGCATCAGGTGCTAATATTAAGCGGCAAAAGTGGGAAGGAAATAGCACATCAATCATTGTGATGAAGGCAAAAACAATGGCCATAGAAACTCATCACATTTATTTTCTTCGTAAGAGTTAGGTTTATTCAAGTATACCTTTCATTAGTGCTTTCGCAACAGGTAAGAGAGGTTGGGGGAAAGGAGTACACCTTTATTCACCCTCTCAAGTTTCGTAGCAACTTCCTTCATAATTCCTAGCTAAATCCAGGAATATACTTCTCCAGATTGCAAAATGGTCATAATATTTTAAATAATTAATAGGGTTTAGACATGGAAGTGCAGCGGCTTAACTCCTGTCTCCAGCATTACTGACATTAGATGTACTGATAGGATTTCTATTCTTTGTATGATTTTCTGTAACACAAGACAAAGCTTAACAGTAATCATATAGAATGCTTGTTTGAAGTTACCTGTTTGTCATCTGACATGAAGTCATCTGTTTCCAGTGTTCTGCTATCATAAAGCTTTCCAGAGAGCAGCACATTAAACTTACAATAACGATTCAATTCACAGGCATGACAAGACATGTATTTTGGACTTTTCAAGGTTATGCGAACATTCGGGTAACAATCCACACGCTCCTGAAAAACAGATTTCAAATAACATTAAAGAATGCTCTTGAACTGAAAGAGGCCTGAAATCAGCTGCTGAGCACCCTGTACTCGCACAAGATTAGCGTAAGAGAAAGCAAGGAAATTAAAAATTTGAAGCCTTTCACCATTAAATTGTGAATATGTACCTCCTCGATCATTTTCCAACACTCCACTCAGTTCTAGTTCATTAATACTTTCTTTTAGCTGCAGACCTAAGGAATGGATTCCGCATCCTTGCACTTATTTTAACCTTACCTCCTTTCTTTTTTTGGAGGGGGTGGGTGTGCAACTGTATCAGTTGGTCTGCTTCAAATGAATACACTGTATCTCTCCACTGGCCACACTACTATTTCAGTGACATAAGGTTACCCTATTATACTAATACTATTCCAACAATTTGTATGCAATGACTGGAGTACTCTATATTCATTTCAGGGGTTTTTAAGCAGTAGAAGGTTCATTATGAACATACTGGTTTATCTTTTTTGTGAGAGGAGGAAGAAATTTTGTTATAGCATTCAGGTAACAAAAAAATCTAAAAAAGTCATCTGCTGAATTAGCAGAAGCAGCATTCAGGTAATTGAGATTCTGTTCTGTTACCTGAATGCTTATCAGGTTATAAACATATAAAATACTTCTGATATAAATATCAGAATAATCAGAATTAATAACAGAAGCATCAAAACGAGTTACATAAGTTAAAGAATGACTTTCTATTAAAAATGAGTGTGTGTATATATATATACACACACACAGAGCACTTACTGTATCTTTACAGAGAATTACAGTATAACACCCCCCCACCCCATCCCATCAGTAATAGTATGATTTGGAGCCCACTTCTCTCTTGAAAGTAGAAGCTACATACCTTGTATCGATCTTTCCAGCGACTTCCAGAGACTAAGTTCTCAAGACGAGGCTGAATGAAGCGGTCATCCAAATAATGAAGTGAAAGCAACATATCCTGTGCATACTTCTTATGTCTTGTTCCATCTGTTAATTGAGAGTTGTTATTAATTTGCTGCCAACTCTATGTTGTACAAGTTTCTTCAAATAAAATTTTCAAGGACATTATGCTTCTACTTGCTAAGAACTAGGAATTATTTTATTAGATTATCCCTGAATACATTTGCTACTGTTATCCATAAAAATGATCCATGCAGCTTTGATAAAATGACATATTTAATTATTTTAAAAGTCTGTGTCACAAGAGGTACATGAGTAAACTCTACAATCAATATTACAGTGAAAAGCTGGCATCCCAAATGGAGAGCCAGCCACTCAATCCTATTTATAAGAATGGAAAAGTGGGGAGGGAAAATAAGTGTCCTGCTTTTTGTCCAGTTTATGTAAGTGTTCATAATGTATAAGGGAAGAGGCTGCAACCCATGAAAACAAATAGCTCTGAGCTGCTTCACAGAAGAAATTCTGACAACTCCCTTCATCACTTAGAAAGCATGCAGGAACCGGCCTTTACATTACAGCAACACAGGCAGATGCCTTGAGTTAATCAGCATAAGTACTTCTAAATATTTACTAAACAAAAGAAATAAACGAATGTGAGGATGGGTTAAACCCACCACTATTCCACAACTGTCTCCCAAACATGTGCTGGACTCTAGGAATTAAACTGGACTTTCACAGGCCTAGGCTAATTCATACTATCTTGAGCTCAGCACATACAAACATGCAAGCTAATTCAGTTACTTTCCTCTGTCTTTTCGCAATGCTGTTATCAAAGAAAACACAACCAAGATGGACCACTGGCTATCTAGCTTTTTATATAAAACCAGTTATTGTCATTATTATTATAGGCACCATAATTACAATTGTTTTTCCATATACACTTTACACATTTTCAGTAAGTCAGCTATGCTAAGAGCTTGAAGAGGCTGTGACAGACCATAAAGAAATCCCTTGCAATAAAAAAGCAAACCTGCACTTGATTCAAACTCAGTCAGATATTCATTTCCATTAACTCAGAAAAAAATCCACTCTGTGTTATAAAATACATCTTTATAATGCTGGGTTGTGTTCATACTATACCATCCTCTTCAGAAAGACATACAACCTTCAGAACACAACTTCCAACTCACCCCCACACTGATCTACTTCCAGGACCTTGGCAATAAGTTGTTAGTTTTACAGAGCAGGTACAATTTGAAATAGAAGGAAGCTATTACAACATCAGTTTGGCAAAGTTTATTATTACTTTCTATACGCTTGTTTTTACTTGGTAAAACAAAACAGAACTAACACCCGAAAGAACTAGCAATGGTAGATGAAAGACATTTTTAGCTCCAGGAATAGAGAGCCTTTATTCTGAAGTCTCTGGTATACTTCAGTTTCTCTGCTCTTTCTAGCTCCTGATGACACCAAAACTTCCTCTCTTTGGCACTCTGCTGACTCCTTCCACAATCTGATGCTGACAATCCTCTCCCATTAATCCCATCTTTACAGCGCTTCTGAAACTACGTGTGAGGTTGCCATTCAACCTCACTGGGCCAAGTGCCAAAAAGCATTTCCTCAGCAAGAACAAGGCCAGAAGTACTGACTGTCACTGAAATTTATCTGAAAGCATGAATGTTTAAAGAAAAGAATAATAAAAAAATTAGATATGGAATAATCTCCATAAATAAAATTATCTATTATCTATCAAATTCCTCAGAAAAAGCTAGGAAGCATGTGAAATTATGACAGATCAGCTGATCTCGCAATGCTTTCCTTGAGATATCTACTTCAAAATTAATTTTGCTTTCACACTAGAACTGTTACTGCTGATCAGTAAGACAGAAACACTTCCCCTATATCTCAGAATGCCTCCTAGGCTTAAAAGAATTAAGTCTACACATTTTTCCACAATTACTCTATTCCTTTTCAGAAAGATTTCCCGCCACCCCCAAGTCAGAGAGCAGCAAAACCAAAACCAGATCTCAGGACTCACAGTACTATAATCAGGAGACACATCTTTCCCTAGAATAAATGTCTTTGTATAACTTTGAATGCACTATTGTATTATTTAATGTGATTTACTTACCATATAATGAGCTCAGAAAAGTGTCATCAATTGCATTTATGAGGAAAGCCTTTACTATTCTTTTGAAGTGTACATAATGATCACAGCGAGATACTGGGAAGAAAGCAATATAACCAGAGTTTACCAAAAAAGAAAAGAAGAAGTAAGCAATGTTAAAAGTCCTCTAAGAATTCTTTTCTTCCATTATCATAAATTTAGCATTTTAAAGTCATTTAAAACTGGCTTTAAAACTCATTTCAATATACAACATCCACATCTTTTAAGACCTTGTTTTTACATAGTGCTTCTCATCCCAAAGATCTTAATGAATTTTAGCATTTTTAAGTCACACATCCTTTCAGCAAGAAGAGCTACAAGCACTGAAAGAAGAAAATAATTCTATGAATGGCAGGAAATAATGCAAACCAGAGAAGGCCAGGCTTATTGTTTTGGGTTTTTTTTGTTCTTTTTTTTTTTTTCTAATTTTCTTTCAAATACAAACTATTCTGCTCAGGTCTTTACTGGGGAAAAAAAATAACACGTCTGTGACCATCTACACCAGTGCTGACTGTTCTGTCAGTACATACTTGCTTCTGAACAACAAGATGCACAAGAAGATGACTAGCATAAAGTTGTGTTTCGGATCCCTCTGCTCCAGGCAGACACCAGTTTTTACAAAAGAACAACTTGAAAAATTTTCTCACTCTCTGCAGTTTGGCTGAAAACATCTCCTAAATTCAGAACCCCACCTCCCAGAGACTTGTGCTCCTCCATCTCAATCACCATCAAATGAAAATACCTTATAAAAAAAGAAATCAATAAAAATCCCAAGTCCCCAAAACCCCAAACTCATGGCAAGAATTTTACATCAATCTCCAGAACTGGCCAGAATTAACATAGCTGCTCTCAGCATATATCGTAAGATGGAGGACGCTTTTAGGCCTCCACAGGAATGACTGCATCATAGGTAGACTATTTCATCCTAAATTAGACCAACTTAAAAAACTTCAATAGGGTTTCCTTTTTTTCCCTCCAAATCATACCCTCCCTTTAATAAGATACAGAAAGACTGTAAGTGGAAATAAGAGTACTTCCACAACAAATTCAAGCCTTTTAGGAATCTGCTTTTAAAGTACGCTATCCTATGTTATTTTTATTTTCACTCCATTAGTATTTACTACCTCACTACAAGCAAGCTGTACATACAGAACTGTCACTAGTTTTGATCTTACAGTTTGGGACATAGTTTGCCAGCAAACTATTTGATCCAGTCAGTTCCTTGTTTTGTGGCTTGTTTTCACCCATTACATGCTCCGTGTCATCATTGCCATCATCATCTTCTTCCTCCACTATAAAATCTTTCAAGCTGTTGCAGTCAGTTTCACTGCCTTCTGTGGGTATGAGGGGCAAGTGAAAGAATGGCTCCTCCTCTATTTCTGCATCACTATTAGAATCCTAAGGAAATTTAAAAAAGTATTTCAAACAGAAGAATTTTCAGTATTTGCAGTGACAAAATACTACATATACTGGATAAGATTTTTGACCTTCTAATTAAACCTTTTGTTCAATTAACAAGAAATACTGTTTCCAAAAAAGATATCATTCTGTGCTAGAGGACAATTACTTGGCCATCTCCATGTACCTCTCTTCAGGCTATTTGTAAGAATTAAGCTAACATGAGATCTCCAAGTTAGTTCAGCAGGTACTTCTTGATAAAAATAACTTGATGGTCCTCTCATGCTAAAGAAGAGAGTCCTCTTCATGATACAGAAGTGTTTCCTTTCTGACTATGTAGAGAAGATGCCTGCATCCTAAGCTGCTTAGTCATCAGAATGCCTGAAAGAGCAAATGAAAGGAAATTCTTAGCTCTTCAGTGATTAAAGAAAGGTTTTCAGCAGTCAATACTGTTTTCTCGTTAATGTGACAACTGTTAAAATGTGACAGAACTACTGACTTGTCAGAAATAAAAAAAAACCCCTCAAAATAAATAAAATTCCATTGATTTATATCAATTTGATTTTATATTCATTTTATATCCTTACTCTATGATTCTATGATTTGTCTTCCCCTGTATTCAATATTTTCTCCAATTGAATTTCAAAGGTAAAATCCAGACCTCACAATTTTCACTTCTGCCGGATCTCCAGGTTGTTCTTTGTCTTGCAAGTTGTTTCAGTTTTGCAAACACTTTCTGTTTCTTATTAGTAGAACCATTTTCTGTAGAGCAGGTGTTATCAGGTTGTAGCTCTCTGGAATTTTCATCTTCATCTCTTATACAGTGGCGCTTGGCAACTTTTCTAACAAGTATATCACTGTCCTCGCTTTCATCACTGTCATACAAGACTGATGAGTTTAACCTTTTGCGCTTTCCAGGCACAATGCACTCCTCATCCTCACTACTGTCTGCTACTTCCCCAGTGTGGCTTTTCTCTTCATGACCTGAAAGGCTGTTGTTCGCAGCAGTTTCATCTTCGTCATCTACTTCATCTTCTGATGTACTAGGCTCTTCCTCCTCAGAGGTACCAGAAGATTCATCATTGCTGTCAAGTAGTATGAGCTCCCTCTTAGTGCGTCTCCAATCAACTCGGGATTTGGGTGATGACAGCTCTCTTGCTGCTGTTTTATTTCTTGTTTCATACCTTCTGACTACTTTTTTTATCTCCATTGGAAGGCTGTAACAACACACCTAAATATATGCAAGTAAAATAGAACACTTACTCCATCATGCCATTAAAAAGAGAAAGAAAAAAAAAGTACAAGGGCATATGTATTTTGCTACATATACTTACGATTTACTTTCATTAACAGGCACACTCAGAAATCAGCACCAACCAAAACTAAGCATGCACAGTAACTTCTGCAGAGGACATGCCTTACTCAAGAGGAAGATGGAAGAGCAGAACTACCCACACCCAGCAGGAATGAACGGTAAAAATCAGGCATGGAGTGCAGCTACAGGCCCCATCATCCGCTCAACACTGGCAGGAAGCCTACACCTGAGGCAGAGAGCTTCCCTGCCCATAAGCCGTACACCGCTCCTTCAGGACCACCCTCAGCAGGGCTCAAACAGGAGCGGCCTCAGCTGGAAGGGACAACCCCACGCAAGCTGCAGGGCGCGATCCTCCCGTCCCCGCTGCTATGCCCAGTGAGGCAGAGGCTCCCTGAGAGGAACCGACAGCACAAAGAGTGCTAGTCCCGGGCGAGCTGAGCTCCTCCCTCCCTCCCTCCCGCCCGCCCCAGCCGCCATAGCGCACACAAACCTCCCGCCGTCCCTCAGCGCCCGCTACTTTTACCGTTAATGTTCCCGCGCTTCGCTGCCGGGGCCGCTGAGGCGAACTCCGACCCGCCCCCTCTCTGCGAGTCGCGATTGGCCACCGCAGCTGCCACTCAGCAGTCGTGCTGTTTACGGAAGTGCTGGCGGGAGGTGCGTCACGTGGTGTGAGCGGGTTGCCGGGCAGTGCTGGAGAGCCGGAGGTTGTCGGTTCGAGTCCTAGTCCCACCGTATGAGGAAGCACGCTTCGTTCTCCGCCCTTCCGGTGCCTCACCTGACAGTGTTAGGGTGTGGAAGTTTAGTTGTGAGCGTCTTTGTGCTCGCCCTAGATGCATTATTGAGTAAAATCGGTGTAGGCCCCCTCAAATCATGGGTGAGCACCTCTGGTGTCTGGGCTGGCCTGAGGCTTACCCTGCTAAAGCAGCTCCTTCAGAGCTACCACAGAACCATGGAATAGTTTGTGTTGGAAGGAGCCTTCGAAGTCATCTAGTCCAACCCCGCCAGCAATGAGCTGGGATTGCCACATCCAGCCTGGCCTTGAATGTCTCCAGGGATGGGTGGCACATCCACCACCTCTCCGGACAAACATCCTCATTGTAAAGAATTTCTTCCTCACATCCAACCTGAATCTCACCTCTTTGATGGGAACAAACCTGCTAGATCTATTGTGCTCAACGCCCAAATGATGGGTGACAAGAGAGTGGGTTGTGGCAACTGGAACTACAGGATGTAGTGGGGGTGTCCGGCTGGGCACATCCGGGGCAGAAATCCCAGGGGTGTCCAGGCCCAGGAGAGCCCCTGTCAGCCCTCTCTGTGGGCCTCTTGGAAGAAAACACATCTTCCTTTGGTGTCTGTAAAGCACATTTTGGGTATGGTACCAGCAGCTCCTCACTGGGCCTCTCAACCAGAAGCAGGAGCACTCTGAGGGCTCTGGTTCTCTGTGGTTCATGCTATATCCATATGGAAAATCAGAGGCTGGGTGACACAGAGAGGTCCTTCCAGTGCCGGTGCTCAAGGAGAGACCTGCCCTTCAGTACGGCGCTGTTTTTTCCTGCTAACAGCAGCTTTGCAGCAGGCACTGAATTGCTGAACACATGTGCTGTTCTCAGCTGGGGCTGGCCCTCATGTGGCGACCCCCAGAAATGGAGGTGAGGGAATGGGGAGGTTGATTCAGGATGGCCTGGATGTTGTCTTAGTCATGGGGGAAAGTGGGAGTGTTGCAGCAGAGGAGCTGGAAGATGGAGAGTACAATAATATTAGGGAAGAAGCTGCTGCCTGAGCATTCACACAGCATCCAAGACTTCAGCTGCTAGAACTGGAGTCCCTTTGCAGTGGGCAGCTCCAGAGAGCTGATGGGTGCCCCTTTCAACTCCTCACTCACTCACAAGCATACATCCTCCTTCTCTGGGCTCAACCCCACGTTTCCTGCAGCACAGGCTCAATTGTTTGATTCCAGGAAAAAAATGCTTAATAACTTCATAACTGTCTCGGGGTGGGTGGGTGGGTGGGGGAACCAAAGAAATCTCTGGGCAATTATGCCCTTATGATTTATGCACCCACCCCTCACATGTCTTTTTAGTCCAGTAGTGATCTTTTGGTCCGGGTTCTTCTAACACCTTATTGGATTCTTTATCTGTGTTCATACAGACAGGCAGTTAACTGTTCTTACCTTGTTGAGTTGCAGCTTCTGCTGGCAGTAGTAGCTCCTTCTGGTTTGTGCTTGTGCACACTAAGAAAGTCCTAGACCTCAGATGAACATAAACTTAACAAGAGCTAAACCATCACTGTGTTATCATTCTTCTCACACTAAAGACAAAAGATAGCACTGTACCACCTTATAGGAAAACTACTAAGAAAACTAACTTTATTCCAGCTGAAAGCATATCTAGGTGAAAGACCACAGCTTACAGCCTGAGGCTGCAGCAAATCTAACTGCTCATGCTAAACAAGTAAAGCTAAGCAAATAGCATACTAAACCACAGAATACTATAACTCTGACTCAAACGATTTAAAAGCTATTTAAGCTGGATAACTAATATCCCTCAACAATAAATTCCTAAGGAAGTAAGTTGCAGTTCTTTTCACTGCTCAAAGAATGAAACATTTTGTGGATGAGTATATGCAGGAAACAATTAACATTTACAATAATGAGTTTCTGTTGGTTTTCTGCTTGAAATGTTTATGGATTAGGATGCTGGATTCTGTTCAGAGCTAATACTCGTACAGATGAATTTTAATAACAAGATTCATCTCTTAAATTTGCTCTGCTTTGCTTAGTGTATGGTAGAAAACTGCTGCTACCTTGGAACTCGTTCTGCTAACATTTTTGTACATTTTTAACAAGATCTTACAAGCATTTCCGTGTATTTCTTTAAAATAGGTGGTAACAAAACCACAAGGAGAGGAAATATCTGTAAGTGAAGCACAGCTCTTTCCCACTTTATTTGCATAGCAATGCAATGGATTTCACATGGTGAAGAGGTGTGACCAGGTGTTATGGTGGGTTGAATTGCTACCAAAATGTTTATATTGCAAGGATTACAATGGTTATAATAAAGGATTATATTGCATTAAGGGAGTTATACCCCCGGTCTGAGATTGCTTTTAGTTGCTTCAAGTTTAAAGTCAGTAAGTGAATTTTCAGGTAAATAAGCGGATCAGTTTGCCCAGGATTTAATGTTTCCTCCAAGCTGTGGTGGAAGTTAAGCGTTTCGGGTGCTTCTCTGTCCCTGGTCTTCATCCCGTTTCTTGCTTCCAACGTCGCCACCTAGTGATAAAAGGCGTGAAAAAACCCTGTAGCTGTGCTCTAGTGCAGGAGACGGGAATAAGGTAGTTGGGAGAATATTGTATGCGACTGAAGAAAATAAATAAAATAATAAATACGGGTTTTTTTTTTTTTTACTTAAATGACAGGAAGGTTTCCACTTATGAATACGGGCTCCTGAGGGACAGCTGAGAAGCTTTTCTTATGCACAACGCTGAAAGGTCTTGTCTTGATTTTTCTGGTATCTTTTCAGGTGAGTCCCAGTCCCAGAGGAGCCTGCAGTGTGTGAAGTGTGAGGGTATGTTGTGTCCTCAGGTTTCAGAAGCAGATTTTCAGTCAATAGACAGAAGTTTTCCAAACAGGCCGATTCTCCTCAAAGCTCCTATTTCTCAGAATGTTCCCTACACATTAAGCAAACTCATCTGTTACATCACAAATAAATGCAGGTGATTTTCATGTGTACTATATAGCCTTTTTACTGGGCTTGTGGAATCACTGTGCCATCTAATGGCTACAGCATCTCTCTAGTACCAAGCTTTCTATTTTACTGGGCTATTCCGGTTGCCTATGATTTTAAATAACAGAGGAATTAGTGTATTGGAAACTTGAATTTATTGTAAGTGGCAGCCCCTGCTAGCCCCTTCTGTTGCTAGCTACTTTCACTGAGTATTTGCTATGCTGCTTTCCGACCAATTTGTTAGTTGTCTGACTATTGCTATGTTCATATTGTTGTTTCTCTGAAGCTTGAGCTCTTCTGGGGTTCAGTGATGTACAAGATTATATAGACACCCCTTCCAATAAAACAGGCGCTTCCTGCTTGGGGTATTCTTCTTTCCCAAAGGTAAGCAATGGGAAGCTCAGAGCCCACATTTCCCAGGGACTGTTTCCTGCAGCAGTGTAGCATTTGCAAGCCCTCTATGACTCCCAGGCATAATAGCATTAGGCTGGCTCATGCCCAAATAATAATGCTGGAATTTACACCACCAACAAAAAAAAAAGCTCTTTTTTAAAGAGGAATGCACCCAAACTCACAAAGAGGTTAGGCCTGTCTGGAACTGGCACAGCAACTGATGTGGCTCTTACTGACTGATAGATAACAATAGCTCAACAGGTTGTTAGAGCCGGAATGGCAAGCCACCTCTGAGTTTGACAACAAGAGGTTTAGCCAAGGGAACCCACAACAGTGAGCTCTAATGCATTTGAAATACATTTGCAGCCAGCACGAAGAGTTTAATCATTTCAGGTCCTTAAAAAGGGACTGTTCTTTTTACTGTTCACCAGTTTATATCAGTAGGGACTCCCTGTCCTTTCACCAAACACACTGCTCAGTCTATTTATGTCATGCATTAAATAGAGACATAAATTAACCAGACAATAACTGTTTTATCACCAGAAAGAGCTGCTAGGACACATAGGGAGGCCCCAAATTAAGACTATGCCTGGAGTGTAGAAATTGAATACAGGATCATCTTCCTTTCTTTCATTCTTTTGTTCTTTCTCTCATTCTCTCTGTCTTTGTTGAATTTAACTTCCTACAGGGTATGTGAACAGAATATTATTGGAGACTCATTTTCTTGCATTTCTCTGCTTCCTATTCCTCATCAGTGGAAGACCATTTCCCTAATTTTAGGGAGAATCCTTGCAGACAGTAAGCTTGCCCAAAAGCCCTGGTAGGTGCTGGCTGACATTGACATGATCCTTGTCATTTCTTGCTATTACTCTGTAGCCAGTAGCAACATAGAAATTGTCCTTAATAGTTTCAATTTCTTAGAAGAAAATATTTAATATCCTATTTTAATGCATATTTTAAAGAACATAAATCTCCATTTAGATTTCTTTTTTTATTAAAAAGTTTTTAGTGCAGAGCATAGAGTTTTCAAACTAATTCTAAATGCCTTTTTTTCATACTTTCGTTAATAGTACAGCTTTTCTCAGAGACTGGAATTCATTTCTGCACAGAAGCTTTTTTAGGGAATTAAATGGGGTTTATGAGATCCTTAATCCTGATTCTGGCTCTTTGTGCAGGGTTGAATTTCATATAAAGTGAATTTCAGACAAAAGAGACCAATAGAGGTAGTATTTAATCACTTTTTGAAACACTGAGAGCTTTCTGGTCTCATGAGATTCTCAAATCATGTTCCATATACAAAAGTTTTCTTTGTGTGTCCTGTAGGCTGGAGCACAATGACTAGATGACTTACATGTTTACGTTGTCTACAATGCCTCTGGGAGTTCTTGTTCCTGCTATTTAAACATCCTAATAATTGATAAAATATGTAGTTTACTTTCCCATTGTGTGTAAGTTAAAATTTTCAGTTCCTGAAGTACATAGAGTCTAATAATAGGAAAGTACAAGGCTGAATGTAGTTAAGGTTCACTTGTCACTATTTGAAGACCCCGTATTTTGCTCCAATTCCACTCCAGTAAAACTCAGTTTATTCTGTTTTCACTGCCATAAGATTTCAGGAATAGCCCGGTCTTTCACAATCACAAGGAGTATGAATTGCATCCTTCCATGTTGTAGTAGGAGACTGAAGAGTAAATAGGATTTGATGTTTATCTGGTGCTGCAATAAGATTGAGGCATTCCTATACAATGCTACTGGAAAGATTCTGTTCGAATGAGGTTGATGTTTACATAGCATTTACCATAACTTGGCCATATTAATGTGCTGACTTTTGATCAAGAACAATCCAAGGCATAAATTAGAATACCCACAAGAACTGTGTAGCAAAGGTCAGGTTTTGTGCAATGAAAGGAGTGGTATTTCATCTTACTTTCAGATGTTTTCATCTTCATTTTGATATTTCTTTAAGAATTTACTGTTAGCTTTTGGGTGGTTTCTTTTCTCTTTGTCACAAACCACATATAATTGCTTGGCAGCAGTTCTATAGCTGGAGTACACACTTTTGCCAGGAAGAATGTGATGAGTCATGATGTGTGACCAGAGTAGCTGTGCTATTAACATTGCCAAGAGTAGATGGAGTTCCACCCGTAAAACTCTGCTTAGCTACTCCAATATATTTGACCCGGGACAGCAAAACCAACTAACTCTCAGAATAAACTGTAGTGGCAAAAGTGTTTATCTGCTTGTATAAATTGTATCTGCACCCCAATTTTTACCACAATAACATACCAGAATCTCTATACCTGCAAAGCCTCTCAGCTGTAAACTTAGCCTTTGCTTTTGGCCTAGCTTGATTAATAGCTATTAATCTTCTTTTATGACCTTCTTTTATGTGTTTCCTTCCATTAGATATCAGAAAAGAGAGATAAAGTAAGTATTTAAACTATAATGAAAAGAGAACCTGACTGTTTAACCTAAAGTGCAGGTTCTACAATGAGAATACCAAAGTATATGCAAATAAAATGACATCCCTACAAATAATTTCTTATTGTGCCGTTTATTTGTTATTTAATTGAGGTAAGATAATCCTGTTTGTAAGGAGCTGGCAATTTTCATATTTTATCTGTAAAGGCTAGAAATGTAGTAAATTAATTTGCACAACAGCAAAGTCAGAGTAAAGGATTGCTTTATCCCAGGGCTAATGGTTCTTTGCCAAGATTTACTATTTGAAGGATAGTAAAGCACCTTTTGTATGAAGTTACCATTTGTATTCAGATCCTTGGCACAAAGAAGAGATGCAGATAAGATACGATTGCAGACAGATTATGAGTTTTGGGTCTTAACCTACTGCCAGTGGAGCCAATAATGAAAGTTCAGCTGACTTCAACCCTACAGACTCATATCCTGCAAGATCAACACAGGAAAAAAATAATGCATGAAGAGATGCAGGTTTTCCTGGGTGCTCTTTGAAATAGATATACAATATATTTTAAAATGTAATTTTAATCCTAGACTTACACATTTGGACTAGATGAAAAAAGCAGATTATATGGAGAGTTCTTGCATTGTTAAAATAGAAAGTGGATTTTCATTTAGGGATTCAACTCTGAAATACTTATTTTTCTTATTACTGTGAAATTTTCACATCTGTTCAGTGTCCTCCCAGCCTCCCCTTATATTCATGTGTATCTGCTGACCTCTCATTCAAGAGCTGATACAGCAATGCTGAATTTAGGGGCATGTTTCTAATGTTTAAAATTTGTGGATCTTTCAGCATAATTTGGGATATATAGACAAAGAGTAGTATTATTGGTATGTGTTACATACCAAATGTACTCAAAAGCTTAAAGGTCTTTTCCAACCTAAATGATTCTAAGATTCCATGAAATGCTGGTATCTAGTAAGTAATTAAAAGATTACTTTCTTAAGCAGAAATCCTTTGTACATACAATAATTTTTTGTTTTCTTAACAAAATATATTCACTTAATGTCCTTAGTATAGGTAAAGTCTTTGCAGAGCAGATGGAGCAGTGGGGTTTTTCCTCTCCCTAACTCTCTATTTAAAGTTTCCCATCCCCTCTACAATATATTTGTTCCTCCAGAAATAGCCTTTGAGTTCACACAAGCCCAGCTACATGATATCGAGGTTGGGATGTGGGCTCTGGTAAGCCAAAGGGAAAACCGAGATGAAAGTGCATTGCAAAACCTCCTGTCTTGAAATTCTGACTTGAAATTATCAAAACCACAGGACTTGGTAGAAGCCAGTACAGAAGCTCAGCTGCTGACATAATTCACTTCCTTTGAGATTATGGAGATCAGAAGTATCCTAACCTCTACCACCTTTCCCCACATCCCCAAACAATATATAGTACAGAATACCAGCATTTTCAGCAAGGTGAAATAGGCCTGAATAAAAAGACAAACCACTTACTAAGTAAGCAATCACAGGCTGAACTACCCCTGAACACTGTGAATGATGAAATTCGGTCATGTGAAAGGCCTCAAAGACCTGAGCCCTTAGAGGTCTGGGTAAGATTTTCATCTTAGATTTCTGAGGCTAATGTAGTTTCTAAGTTCCTTTCCCATGACTTTTCTATTTCAGATGTTATCTAAGCATACGTGGCATACTTTCCCATTCAGATCTAGGGGCACAGAGTTCATTAATTGGTGTCTTATATTTTAGCTACACAGCATGCTTATGAATTGTCACGGCTACTTTTTAAGCACTTGGGGATATTGTGGGAGGGAAAGTTCTTGGTGGGGAGTGTTGGGAAAGTTGCTTTTGTTAGATATGGACGTCTGCCAGTAGCTCGACTTTAAAAGTAGTGCTGACAGAAATTTTCAGTTGTTGAAAGGCTTTTGCATCCTCCTTTTTTGGTGTAATTTAGCTTATTAAAAAAAAAGTATTAAAATTGATTATTACTTTTTATAAATTCCCATAAACGATTTTGAGATCTTAAACTTTCTTCTATTGGAAGAGAAATCTCTCTTTCTGACCCTTGAGGTGTAAAGATAGCTATATCCAGTTGTGAGCAAAACTGGTCAAAATGAGAAATTTCCTTAAGACTTTTATGATTGCTTATACTAAACATGATTTTTTTTCCATTTGAATATAATTATACCATGCAATTACATGGATTTTTGCCTTCAAGTAAGGTGCCTCCTTCAACACTAGGGCATAACGTATTTTGAGATTATGCTTTCCTTACAGTGCTCATTTTTGTCTGCATTAAACTTAAGCATATCACGTTCAAAGTTGGTAAGGTGGTGGTTAAATTAGGTGTTAAATTCCAAGCATCACGTTTACAAAGTACTTAATACTGTTTGTAAACAGAAGGGCACAGAGCAGAACAATAGAATGTCATTGTATGATCGCTGTGTCTCTGGTTTCCCCATGTGCTAGTATAACTCAAACTGTAATAAGGTGATATTTACTTGCAGGAGGGGCATAGAAGGGGTATTTCAGTTTCAGCTCACTGTTGTTGTTCTGAATATTCATTATGTGTATTAGAGAAGCACTTAACAGTTCACACAGTCTTACAGTGTTAATTGATTACAATGAAAAGATGCTCTGTGTATCTTAGAATGTACAATTTCAGGATGAATAAGGAGCACGGATAAAGGAAACAGCCAGTTATTTATGATTGCAGTGATAGGCAGAGGTCACAGAACCACAGTTTTGTAAATATCATGAATCAAATCTCAGAGAACTTTGGGATTTGATTGTTTTTTTGGCTGAAAACAACATTTCTGTAGCCTTAAGTTATTAAATCACTCCCTGCTTCCTCTGACAGTGCCAGACAAGTAGAAAACATGGACAATTATCTCAGTATTTTAGCTGGGGAGCTAAAGGAAAAGGAGTTGAGAGAAGCTTTTAAAAACTTAGTATGTACAGGGTACAGCTACTGTGCTTGTAAAGGAGATTTCATGCAAAATAACCTTGCTTCATACCTGCATTCAGGCAAACTCAGGGTGACCACTTTCTACGCTCCACCATGATTAAATGATTAGTGTTGATATTTCCTGCAGCTGGAGAGGTCTATGCTCTAAACTGGCTATAGTTTCTGCCCTCCTTTAGACCCCTAGAGTGTTTTGCTTAGTCAAAATTGACAGCACGGTTTCAGTCAAGGCTATATTTAAGCAAACAGAAAAATTCCACATAGTACCCTCCTCTAGATCTGCAGTTGATCCTGTACTTGAATATTGTGTTAACATTCATTTAGATGTTAGGTGTTTTTGATGGGATTGGCATTTGCTTTTCTCTCTGCTTCTCGGAGTTGAGTAGGCGATGCAGGAAACTCTGAAGTGCAGGTTTGGGAGTTCTGTGTATAACAACCCGTCTTCCCCATCCCTGGTACTGTATAACCCCAGAGCTAGTGATTGCCAACCCCCTTATTCTGCTCTGCATCCCATACTTTGTGGCATTTTGGGTCATATGGCTCCAAGTTTGGGTGCAAATGTAATGGACATAACTCATTTTTGGGTAATAGCAAAAAAAATGGTCATGAGTATGTTCATGTGATATGCATGACTATTTTAGATCTGTGCTTCTTAGCAGAATAGCTCACATTGCACAGAGCAGAACAGCCCACTTCCAGCTCAAAGGAAATCTGTGGATTAGTTTTATAGGAAGAATACCTTTTTTCTTTGTCCTTTCTATGGAGGCAACAGGAATTAAACATATTGCAAACATTGTTCCCTATGAACTCTCACATAATATTTTCCTTAACATGCTATTAATTCCAGAGATGTAAATCTCAGGAATCCATTTTGAAACAACTGAACAGTGTTTCAAAAAACTCTACATTTGCTGTTTCGAAGTTCTGAAAAATGAGGGGTTAGGGTCATTAGGCATTAGAAACACATTTAGGGACTTGATTTCCCACTGAAATCCTGGTGTATCTGGCCCTGAGGCCTATATAAGTACTTTACTGTCATTAATTTCAGTAAAAAACATATGCTTTAATGCTTCTGAGATTCTGAACTTTGGTACCTATTGATCTTTTTACATATTTTGGGGTGAAAAGAAGCCTCACTTCGTTGTGAGAGCAAATGGAACTAAATCACAGAAATTGTGGCATAGTAACCCAACCCAGGCTAATCAAGTGGTAATGTGGGGAGTCTTTGCGTGGTCAGGAGACCAGGAGAGAGGTAGGATCATGGTGGCTAACAGTGGAAGGAGCAGGAACTATGGATATTTCATAGCGATATAGCATAATAAGATTGTTGGGTACAGGTTTTCTAGCATGCCCTGAGTATTGCACAGCAGATGTTGCAGGCTCTGGGCCCTAAACTGGGGTGTCAAAGGAGGGGGTAATAGAGGAAAAGTCCTGGAGAATGGTAAGGAAGAAACTAAAGTTGTATCCGTTGCGCATTTACCTATGATTAGAGGTACATGATCGAGGGTAGGGGGCAGTGCTGCTTGATGAGAAAGTAAAGCTGCAAAAGCAGTACTCCCACTGCTAGAAAACACCTGACCCATTGACTGGGGCCAGAGCTCCCATGAACTGCAGAGTTTGGGTTGTGTCCTCCTCCCCTGTGACAGTGGCTGAGGGGCACCTTCAGCTGCTTCTGCTGTGTCAACAGACGGAGAACAAGTGACCCAGAACAAGCCCTTTTCTTAACTGCTAACATAAAGTGTTCTTACCTTTCACACTGTATGCAGTTTTATTGCTTTCTTGTTAGACTGTGGTTCTAGAGGAGGGATTTGAACAGTGGTTTTAGCGTGGGAAATTATATTTTATAACAGCAGTCTTTTAAAATAGGCATTTAAAGCGGGGTTTTAAAAGTGATTTTTGAGGAAAGGAGAAAGAACTGTTACGATGGGATAATTTAATGATAACCTTTCCTCATTATTTGGCAGGTGCTGATTTATCTTTCTCTGGTTCAATTACTGTAGATTGTGTAACGCTGATTATATTTTGGGACAGAGCTGGATTTCTGGATTTATTCAATATAGTCTCAGGAAATTGCTACCTTGCTGGGCTTGTTCTGATTTGATGAAAAAGCAGGAGTTACTGAAGAAATGCAGTGGTTTGGGAGCTATTTAATAAATGGGTTTATAAAAAAGGAGAGAGTTTTTTTGTACAAAACTTTTTATAGCAATGGGTTGCTTGAAATTAGCTCCTGAATGTAAAAACTGCTCAGAGCATTTTTCAAAATTACAAAGATATTAATTCAATATTTTTAACGTTGAGAAAGCCCTGCCTTATGTTCCAAAATAATTTGGTTTGAAACTGTGGGTTATTGATAACATACAAAACTTAGTAGGAATCACACCTTTAAAATCACCCAATAAAATGTTTTGTACCTTGCATCAGCCCCTGTCATTTTGGTTAATCTTTCTTTCTGTTCATATTTAAGGGAGTTTGTAATATTTTTTAGGTTTTGTCTGTTCCTCACAGTTTGGAATAAGATTTATTTTTAAGAAGTTTTAAAGATTCTCTCATTGAATAGGCCAATTCCCACTGGTCCTATTAGAATGAAACAGTACTGAAAGGAAACCAACAAAAAAGTCTGATTGCTTGTCTGTAAATCTACAGCCTAAGGAGCTGGGTTAGAGAGAGAGAAAGGGACATGGAAAAGGGGAAAGATAGAGAAAATGACCATATGTGTATTCATAATCTGATGTGATGTAAGATAAATTAAGCTGCATGGGAGCTTTGCTTTGTAGCAGATCAAAGAAACAGAAAAAGGGCCTGAAAACCAGAACTGTAGCTCACAAGACTGCTGAATTTGCAGAATAATCTGGGGTTTTATTATCCCAGGATCCAAAAAGCCAGTTCTGCTTATGCTTAGTCCTGAAGGAACCCACTTGCTGGAGCTGGGGCCATGTGCTGGGAGCTCCCCAGGCAGGGACTGTCACTTTATTTAATGGATTGATCCTTTCTGGTTCTGATGCAGTGCTGAAACAAAGTTAATTGGAAAACAGACTCAAGAGTCATCAAATGTGAAAGATATGTACCCAGAAAAGCCAGTTGGGGCTGTCAGTCCAACTCCAGCCCAAAGCCTGAAGTGGATGGAACAACTCCCAGTGACTGTAGTGCACTTGCAGTAGCTCATGCTATGAGCCAAAATACATTAGTGTTTGCTTTAGGCTTCTTCTGTTATATACTCCCAAGTACCATGACTTCTAGTAATTATTTGGCTGTACTGCACAGTCTATCTTATTCCAAGATTACTTGGGGTTTTTAGGTGCTTGGGAGTGCTTTTCCTGACGTTAACCTTGTTTGTGCTATGTACTGTACTTACACTGCAAAATGCCTTTCTTTTGTGTTTTCAGAGAGCTCTGTGCATGCATTTTTACATCAAACCTTTAATACGCTGTCATGGGTAACTCTGTCCTCAGGTCAGCAAAGCAAAGCACCTGAGTACTGCATAAATCCTGCTGACTTCTCAGGCCGAAGTGAAGACTGTTGAAAAGGTTTCCTCAGCCTTCAACCACTGTGGGAAAACTGCTGATGGAGAAACAGAGGGGAAACTGCAAGCCCAGGAGGAAAAGGTGCGCTTGTCATTCTACAGCATTAGCTTTGCCCAGTAGATGGCATCTGAAACCCGCGCACTGTGAGCTGCTCTGCACCGCATTCTAATGTGCCTCAATTTTCCTCGTTGAAGTGGTTTTTAGTTAGCACATACCCTATGTTTTCATTAGTACCGGCCAAATGAGGTTACTTTGACCTTGATTAATAAAATGTATAATCATTTTGGAAGTATTTGGAGCCGGAGACCTGCCAATTGCTTTTCTCCCCCCCCCCCCAGTTGCGCAGTAATCAATACAACAGAATCTAAATTGCAGATTACTCAAAAGTGGATTGCACTGCACGTCTCCCTCTTAGCCTCTCTTCCTGCTCCCCCCCTCATAATTCAATCCATCCTGGAAATGATTTGCAGTTGTCAGCGAGGGGATGAGGAAACAATAAGCCAAACTCGCCCTTTCTTGTTACCTTTCAAAGAGAATAAGTAATGCAAATGTACACAAAATCACTGCTGCCACCACAGGCGGCATTAATCAGAAGCCTGCCAGGAGCAGAGCACAGCCCCATGCCAACCGGGGGTCTTTCGACGCCTCATTTAAAACCGTTTGTGAACTGCCACCGGCGCTGGACAGAGCAGAGGCGGCCGCTTCCCGGTGCAGGGCCCAGCTCTGCCGACAAGGGGCGCTGCTGCACCGCGGTCCTCGGCCCTCACCGCTGGGACCGACCACATCCTCGCATTCCTCTATCCCAGCGTCCTCCCAGACCCGCATCCCCCCAGATCCGCATCCTTGCGTCCCCCCAGTCCCTCATCCCCGCATCCTCTCAGACCTGCATCCTCTCAGACCCGCACCCCCGCATCCCTCCAGCCCCTTATACCCATATCCCTGTATTGCCACATCCCCTCAGCCTTGCATCCCTGCTGCCCCACAACACCCCAGCACTGCAACCCCACTGCTCCACTACCCTTCATCCCCTCATCCCTACTGCCCTGCATCTCTGCATCCCTGCTGCTCCACTGCCCCACATCCCTGCATCCATGCATCTCTGTATCCCCACTGCCCCACTGTCCCT